AAGTTGGAATTGATTGATTGAACTTTTTAGTCCCACCCAGTCTGCCGTTAGCACCACAGCCACGCCCTCCCAATGGGCCACGCCCACCCAACTGGCCACACCCAGCCAATGGGCCACACCCACCCGGCACTCAACAATGCATAAGTGGGTTTTGGGTTGTAGTTTGGGCACTCAGTCTCTAAAAGGTTCGCCATCACTGCCCTATACCATTTGAGACAAATGGATGTCCAGTTTCTTCTTAATAACCACCAGTGATGAAGCACCCACAACTTCTGGAGGCAAGCTGTTCCACTGGTTAATTGTTCTCACTGTTAGGAAGTTTCTCCTTAATTCCAGATTACTTCTCTCCTTGATTTAATTTATATCCATTATTTCTTGCCTTCTGGTGCTTTGGAAAATAATTTGACCTCCTCTCCTTTGTGACAGCCCCTCAAATACTGGAATACTGCTATCATGTCACCCCTGTTTCTTCTTTTCTGTAGACTAGCCAAACCCAATTCCTGCAACCATTCTTCATATGTTTTAGTCTCCAGGCTCTTAATCATCTTAATTGTTCTTCTTTGCACATTTTCCAAAATCTCAACATCTTTTTATAATGTGGTGACCTAAACTGGATGCAATATTCTACATGTGGTCTTGCTAAGGTTTATAAAGCAGTACTAACACTCCATGTGATCTTGACTCTATGCCTCTCTTTATGGAACCAAGGACTGCATTAGCTTTTTTGGCTGTTGCCACACACTCCTGGCTCATATTTAAGCAATCGTCCACTAGGACAGGACTTGTCAACCTTTTCACCCATTGTACCACTTTTAGGATATGGCAATATCCAAGTACCACCAGTCGCCCAGCAAAGTGTCAAAAACTTGATGAACCCCCCCCCCCAAAAAGGAAAAAAAGTGATAAAGAAAAGGTAGTCCTCAACTTACAACGCTTAATGACTGTTCGAAGATACAATGGCACTGAAAAAAGTGCCCCCCAAGCCACAGCCAAGCAAGACACCTGCCTGCCCACCCGGCAGCACTCTTCCTCCTGTCCGAGGTTTTCATTGTTGTGAGCATTTCTGTTGGGGGTTGGCAGCGGAGGTGGGGTGGGGGGTGTTTGGTTTTGGGTGGTTGCAGCAGGTTTTGGTCACTTCACATGACCCTGGGACAGTGTGACCGTCATAAATATGAATCAGTTGCCAAGCATCTGAATGTAAATCACAAGACCCTGGAGATGCTGTAACATTCCAGCTGATGGGCGCTTCTTCTGGGCTCAGCAGAAGCGCCAGGATCAACGCCGAGCTCCAGCTGGAGCCTGGCGCTGATCCTGGTGCTTCCACTGAGCCCTGACAGCCCCGAAGAAGTGCCGATCAGCTGGAAAGCGGCACTGATCCTGGCGCTTCCGCTGAGCCCCGACAGCCCTGCAGCTCCAGCCATCTCTCGCTCAGGCTTGTGCGGTGCTGTCACCAGTTCAGCTCATTCCCCTCCCCTGCTACTTTTCTAGGATGGTTGCGTACCACCTGCCAGGTGCCAATGTACCACAGGTGGTACCCGTACCACTAGTTGAAAAGCCATGCACTAGGACTCCGAGATCCCTCTCACAGTTTGATCTTTAAGAGACCATTTACCCACATCATCTTCTTTCCTACACATCTCTTACTACAGATGTAATGTCTATGGATAACTGCATCTAATCTATCACCCCTCTCTCTCTCTCTCTCTCTCTCTCTCTCTCTCTCTCTCTCTCTCACTCTATCTCCCTCCCGCCTTCCCTCTCTCTCTCTCTCTTATCTCTTTTTAGGACTAAGCACTCTGGTTTAAACCCTTTTGGCCTAGAATTTTCCAGAATTAGCATGCCCACACTTAACAAATTAAAACAAATTAAAACCTAAAACAAAGCTGCACAGCTGGTCGCAGAACTTGTACAGCGACCATCTCAGATGGGAGGTTTATCACATCTGATTTCCTGCTGCAAGTCACTCCATATCTCCATCGATCTCATCTCAGTTGCTATTAACCCACAATAATCACCATTTCGTTACAAGGCGAACCTGGCGGGGAGACTCATTTGCATCAAGTAATCAGATAAAAGGGGGGGAGGGGAGAGAGAGAAGGGGAGAGATATTTCCTTTGCAGAAATGTTTATTCAAATTCCCACCAGACAGCTTTTAGAAAAATAAAAACGGCCATAAGATTTATTTCTATACATTTTTATTTAAGCTCGTCCCAGTCAACTCTCCAGTTATATATTTCCAACGTCACTGCTGGAAGATTTTCTGCACTTCTCAGACTGAAAGTTCTTTCATTTTATAAAAGCCTTTTACTGTTTTCTTTATTGTGGAGCATTTATGATCAATAACCGCAGAAATGAGCAATTCATAGACAGATCAAATGCCATTTTTATATTTTTTTATCTTCAAGATTTTTATAAATAACAAATAATATGGGGATGTTTTCAACAAATACATTTTAAATAAATACAACTGCATTAATGGTTGTTTAGGGGGGCTGGATTTGGCATGGAATTTTGAGAATAGGAGTATTTTAACATCACACGCATACTGCAACTGTAATTGGGAGGGGAAGGATGGAGGACATTGGCTATTTTATACTGGAAGAAAATCTAAACCTGCTTTTTAGAAATAAAAACAAACCCACATGCAGTGACTAATTGCAAGAATTCCCAAAGGCTCTTTTTCAAAAGGTAACTGGGCTTTTTTTTTTCTTTGAAGATGTGTTGCTTCTCATCCAAGAAGCTTCTTCAGTTCTGACTGAATGGTGGAGGATGGAAGGATTTATATTTCTTGCAGTTATCTGGTTGTTAGTACTCTTTCTGAGAGTTGATCAGGCCACTTGGAAGTTTATCTGTGCCCTCAGGGTCACCTGAATAGTGCAAATAGACGTGGAACCTTTTTGGGAACTGCTGAAAGGACTATGTTGTAAACAGGAGATAGGTGGTGTCATATCCCACTACAGTCCTTTCAGCAGTTCCAAGAAGATTCCACCCCCATTTGTCCTATTCAAGCAACCCTGAGGGCTCAGATAAACCTCGAAGTGGCCTCAACAACTCTCCGAAAGAGTGCTAATGACCAGATGACTGCAAGGAATATAAATCCTTCCATCCTCCACTATTCAGTCAGAACTGAACTGAAGAAGCTTCTTGGATGAAAAGCAAAACATCTCCAAGTAAAAACAAAGAAAGTCTAGTTGCCTTTTGAAAAAGCACCTTTGGGACCACCATGATCTGGATGACTGAGAATCTCCATAGACAGTTGCAGGAATTGCATTTAGTTTATCCCTCAGTAAATAGCTTGTGGGGACACCTCTTAATGGAAGGAGGGCTACAATATGCAGAAACACCCGGCCAAGTTCAACAACCCACCTTGAGGTCACGGTGCACAATGCCCATGTCATGCAGGTATTTAACAGCATCAAGGATTTGACGGATCAGCTTGCTGGCATCTCGCTCTGTGTAAAATCCCTTCTCCACTATCCTGTCAAAAAGTTCCCCTCCAGAAACCCTGTCAGAAGAAGACATAATACAAGTAAGATCTATGCAAACAGATCCTTGCGAGCCTCTAACACGGATTAGGGCAGTGATAGCAAACCTTTTGGGCTTGGCATATCAAAAATTCAGAAAATGCCTAACTTGACTCTGCTGGTATATCACTACCACACCCAACAAAGGAGAAACTATTATTTACATATTTATTTATCTTAAAAAATATGCAGTCTAATCAAATGTGTTGCTATGAATTATATAAAAAAATGACAAATAATAGCAGCAAAATATGAAATGAAATATAAGCCGTTTTAGAGTTGTAGTTTTGAGAATAGTTCTGGTCAAGTATTGGTGAATGTTGGCATGGCACACAAAATGTTGTGGCGTGTCACTTTTGACACGCATCATAGGTACACCGTCACTGGATTAGGTTCACCACAAGACTCAAAGGAGTTGGGAAGCTGAGGACACACCATGCTACAGGTAGCCCACAACTTATGATTATTTTTTTTATTATTATTATTATTTATTTGATTTGTACCCCGCCCTTCTCCTTACCGGACTCAGGGCGGCTGACAGCCTTATAAAACCCATATTACAATAAATATCAATTTAAAACCACAACTGTATCTAAGAGAGCTAGTTGTTAAGTGCCTGATTTTACAACCTTTTTGCTGATTGATAAGTGAATCACTGCAGTGGTTATGTGAATCCAGCTTCCTTCATGGACTTTGCTTGTCGAAAGCTGGCTGGGAAAGATGCAAATGGTTCCCGTAACCATGGGACACTTCAACCACTGTAAATACATGTCAGCTGCCAAGTGCCCAAATTTTAGGGATTACGTTGAGCATGGGAATGCTGCAACGGTTGTAAGCGCAAAGATTGGTCGTAAGACCATTTTTTCAGTGCTCTTGTAAATTCTAGCAGTCGCTAAACAAACGGCGGTAGGTTGAGGACTACCTGTATTTCTCCCTTTCCTTTTTAGCTCCCATCCCGTGCATGTTGGAGGCACCATTTAAGGTACTTCCGGGTTGAAAGGATTAGCCATTGACATCACCATTGCCCAGGGAATGCCTGTGGGGGCTCCTTTCATGTCCCTGTCAAGGAGCTGGAGCAAATGACGGGAACTCACCCCACCACGCAGTAGCACTCAGGACTCGAGCGTGGGCTTGCTAACCTCCAATCCAGCACCTAGCCACATGAGCTGTCGCGCTCCTTTCCTTTTTAGCTAACAGGGCCTGAGAACCGTGGCTCCCTCCCTCCTCTTTCCTAAACCCTCAACTTACAGCTGCATGATGAGGTAGAGATGCCCTCCACTCTCGTAGATGTCATCCAGGGCCACTATGTTCGGATGCTTGATTCTGCCAAGAGGGGGAACATGTTTTAATTAGGAGGTGCTATAGCTCTCCAAGGAAATCTATTTCGTTTTGCCTTGATCGTTTTAATGTTGATATTATTGTAAAAGGAAAATATAGTATCAGCTCAGAAATATCTCGCAGTGCAAAATACAAACATTACTCTCCATGGGACAGAGTGTCCTCATCGTTACTGAATACTGCACAGTAGCAAAAAACATTCTGCGTTCACGTTACTATGTGCATTTTTGTTAGCCTCAGATTGGGAGAAGTTGCCTCACAAAACTATAGGCAGGGTTAGTGTTAGTCTTATTTCTCAGTGGGTGGAAGGTTTCATGACATGGTGAGATGGCCGGGATTTTGTCAAATATCAACAGAGACCACGTTTGGAAGATGTTAATAAAATCTGGCAGCTAGAATGAGTTTTGGAAGAACTTAGAAGAGAAAAAGCCCAGAAGCAAGAAAAAGCAAACCTGGGAATAAAAGTTGCTGATAGCACAGTCAGTATGAGGGTATGTGTGTGGAAAGTTGGGTAGTTTGAAGCAGAATCCCACCCCAAGGGATGGGCGAGTCTTGAGAAAACAGTGCAAAAGAACCTTGGATATAGGATTACGAGAAAGCTGGTGGTGGGATCTCCACCCTTTCCTCTAGAGCAGACATGTCAAACACAAGGCCCGGGGGTCGGATGCGGCCCGCGAAGTGGTTTCATGTGGCCTGCGAAGCCATCCTGGAAACAGTGAGGGAATGGCCCCTGCTGCCTTGGCCCTTGGCCCTGGGAGCCAATGTACAATTTTGTGGTGGCCATCTATGCTGAAACACATTCAGTCTTAGCTTCACAAGGCCGTCCAGAAACAGCGAGGAACCAGCCCCTGCCGCGTCGGCCCCACCCCCTGGATGCATGCTGGGGAGGTGTCACCCTTTGTGAGGAATGAAGAAATGGACCATGCCTTGGCACTTGCCCCGGTCCCACCCCCTTCTGCCAGAGACCCTCAAATCTGTCCCACTCCTGCCCAGGCCCCCACAGGCACCCTTGACATGAACGATGAAGAGCTGGCCATGCCCACCCAGTAGGCCACACCCACTCCATCCATGCCCACCCAGTAGGCCGCACCCACCCGGCCCCGAGGGCAACCACAATGCTGATGTGGCCCTCAATGAAATTGAGTTTGACACCCCTGTTCTAGAGGAGAAAAATCTACTTTGCAATCCAACTTTTACTCTTATCATATTTGTCCAAGCTAATTAATTGACATTAATGTCTTATGAGAACTCCAAAATGGGAAGAATGGATCCTGTTAGTAAGTAAGCAAAGACTCAGTTGTGCACAGAATTAAAGACAACTCCATCCGGTCAGTCTTGTTCTGGAAAGACCTAAATCCAGTCAGTTAATCCATTTGGCCTCTCCACTGAAGAACATGGTCCCAACATCCATCAAGGCTAGGACCCTCTTCCCAAACCCTGCTTGACAGCTCCTGTTGATGCCTGCCTGGACAATGAGGAAAAAGCTAGTATAGGTAGTCCCTGACTTACCACCACAGTGGAACACAAAATTTCCATTGCTAAGCCAGATAGTTAAGTAACTTGTGCCCCATTTTATGATCTTTTTGGCACAGTTGTTAAGTGAATCACTACAGTTGTTAAGTGGATCGTGCAGTTGTTAAGTGAATCAGGCTTCCCCTATTGACTTTGCTTGTCGGAAGCCAGCTGGAAAGGTTACCGATGGAGATCACATGACTCCAGGACAGTACAACTTGTCATAAATACATGCCAGTCGCCAACCGCCTGAATTTTGATCACATGACCATGAGGATGATCCAACAGTTGTAGATGTGAAAATCGGTCATAAGTCACTCTTTCAGGGCTGTTATAATTTTGAACGGTCTCTAAATGAATGGTTGTTAAGTCAAGGACTACCTGTAATATAAGAAATCCTGGTGCAAGGATTAAGGAGATACATTCCTAGAGAAAATGGAGGGTGTGTGGCTGCTTTTTGACCTTGCTAAATGTAATTATCTACCGCAGCAGTCCCCAACTTTTTGGGCACCAGGGATCGGTTCCGTGGAGAGAGGTTTTTCCACGGACCAGAGGGAGCGTGGTTTTGCATTGCTGCCTGCATCCTGCAGATGGGGCTTCACTTGTTTCTGTGGCCTGGTTTTTGGCATGCTGTGGTTCAGTGCTGGTTCGGACAGATCCACTGGTCAAAAAATTGGACCGGATTAAACATATTAGGAGAATAAAGCATCTGATTGTCAAGTAGAAACTAAATTCCAAAGAAAGACATTTAGAATGCGATGTGAACTTTTGGGGGAAAGTCCCTAAAATATCAAGAACATTTGACCCAATTTGTAACAAAGGACTGGTACTAATTAATGCCCTATTGAGAAATAGTAACTAACATATATAAACACCATTTGAATCCACTCCTTGATTTCTATTTGCTTTTTAAAGTATCAGTTAAGTTCTTTTTGTCTAACTTGTTTCCCTGTTGTTAACTTAACCGTGGATTACTCAATTAGCTTAAAGTTCTCTGTGTGAATAATATAGCATAAACTAACTGCATAGGATTAAGTTCAAAGCACGCTAGACTGAAACACACTCATGTATTTCGGATTCAAGCTGTCTCATGAACACAGCCTCCAAATCTTTTCATTTATTTCTCCCATATGAAACCTTTACCTCTCTCACAAAGTCACTTAGATTCTTTAATCAAGATGCAGGGCTTTCTGCGCAAACAACTGGGGAATTACAATTATTGCCCTTACTACCCCAATTTGCTTGCTTATGGTAAGAATTAACGAGCCATGGCACAGAAATGACTATAAAAACGCTAAATGGAAATGAGGGAAACACAAAATCACTACAGATCTGCCTTTAAAAAGAGGAAAAGGATGCAAGCATTTTTTTTAAAAAAATTGGCAATACATTGTTGTGCAGACCAGTTTGTTGATATCACACAGATTGCTTTTGAAGGAGTGTTGTAGGCACTTCGACAAAAGTATTATCTGAAGCAGGTGTATCCAACCCACAACCCATAGGCTTCACGCAGCCTGGGACAGCTAATAATGTGGCCCCACAAGATCATAATTTTTTTCACATTATTATGTGATTTTTTTTATATTACATATTTTATATACTGCCCAAGACAATTCTTCTTCACTCAATGCAGTCCAGGCAAGCCAAAAGGTTGGACATCCATGATCGAAAGGAAATAAGTATTAATTTTGTAAAGGATCACTAATAAATATGGGTATGAAAAAGATGTTCCTATACCAGGCAACAGGAAATTACAGGTAATCCTCAATTCATCACCACATTTTGAGCCCCAAATTTCCGTTGCTAAGTGAGACAGTTGTTAAGTGAGTTTTGCCCCATTTTCTAACCTTTCTTCCCACAGTTGTTAAGTGAATCACTGCAGTTGTTGAGTTAGTAAAATGTTTGTCAAATGAATCTGGCTTCCCCATTGACTTTGCTTGTCAGAAGGTCGCAAAAGTCATAAATATGAACCAGTTGCCAGGCATTCAAATTTTTTTTTTGTGGTCTTAAATCTTTATTAAGTATGAAAATTTCTCCAACTTAAATTACATCCCAGTTTTGAAGAAAGCCAGACGTCAATTTAGAGACAAAAGCTTTATATACAAGTGGGCTGGGCTTTAGCTTTACAAATATAGTATCTTTTCACGAGTAGATTCCTTTTAAGATTTATAAACTTACAAAGCAAAAAAAAAAATAAAAAATTAAGAACGTCCGAACTAAATAAAGACTTTAAAAATGAATATATCCTTTTAGAAATGCCATTTTAAAATGCTAAGTTAATACCGGTAACTGGAGATTCTTTGGATGAGGAGTTGAGACTCTCTGAAATGGCTTCAGACCATTTCTCGGTCTCTTTGGATAGCACAGCAAAGAATCATGCTGAAAATCATGCCAAAGATCATTAACACAGCAACGCCAATGACCAGGCATTCAAATTTTGATCACATGATCACAGGGATGCTGCAATGGTTGGAAGTATGAAAAATGGTCACAAGTAATTTTTTTCAGTACTGTTGTAACTTCAAATGGTCATTAAATGAATGGTTGTAAGTCAAGGACTACCTGTATATGACTGGTCTCAAGTAAACTAATCAAGGAAAGAAGCAACCTAGAACTAAGGAGAAACTTCCTGATAGTTAGAACAATTAACCAGTGGAACAACCTGCCTCCAGAAGCGGTGAATGCTCCAATACTGGAAGTTTTTAAGAAGAGACTGGACAGCCATTTGTCTGAAATGGTATAGGGTTTCCTGCCTGAGCAGGGGGTTGGACTAGATGACCTCCAAGGTCCCTTCCAAATAATAATAATAATAATAATAATAATAATAATAATAATAATAATAATAATAATAATTATTATTATTATTATTATTATTATTATTATTACTACTACTATTACTACTACTACTACTACTATTATTATTATTATTATTATTAAACTCATGAAATGTGCAAATTTAGATCCTAAGAATGATTTTCACCACTAAAAATTTTCTTGTGGTCCTTCACCAAGTCCTTGGCATCATATTATTATAGCCATTTTTATATGAGAAAAAAGAGGAGATAGTGAAAAAAGCCAATTATTGAAAGCTTCTACTACCGCTGCTACATAGTGAAAGAATGGATACTAAGGACATTTCAGAGAGGTTATGCAAGGTGCAATTCAGGAGAAAAAACAAAACCCAGTAATCCTCCTACGGTGATTAGTAGGACGCAATAAAAACAGATATAGTGAGCAGGGAGATTGTAATTAAAGATATTAAAAAGTCTTGAAAAGCTTCAGCAAGATTTCACCAGTCCAAAGTGGACAAGGTACGGATGCAATTATTTAAAAAAAAAAGTAGTGCCAAAACTAAAGTATAAAAAAAGGAATAAAGTCCATAGAGCTGCAAGAATTTGGTAGCAGCTTTGTCTGGATGTTCTAAGGAAAGACAGCAAGACAAAAAAAAATAGCAATGACAAAGTAAATATGGAGTTAACTGCATGTCCAAATTGTTGGACTAAAACTAATATTTGTTAGCTGGAGGCAGGAGATAAGATACTGTTTATATGTACAAATGTGCTTTCACCTCACTGTTGCCTTTATCATATTATCTAATGTTTTCTTTCATGATTTTTTTTTTAAATAAACCACTTCAGCAATAAGTCACTGGCCCCAGAGAATTTGCATAGCTCTTTCCTTTTAAATGAACTTTCCAGCTTGCTAGTTTCAGCTACCTATTTAGCGATAGTTGATGCTAAGCAAGAACCAATCACTTGAAAACTCACCAGTAGGTCTTAGTAACACTAAGAAAAACTCCAACTTTGTAACAGACAGCGAATGTGACAATTACAGAGGAATAGCCAGCAAAGGGGTCATGCCAGAGCACGCAGATAGGGTGCCCTAATGAAGCATGAGCAATGGATGGTAATAGTCACACGGCTTGTTCTGGTCACAAGAAAACACTGTGTGGTGCCAACCTGGACTATTTTCAGAAAAGCTGATATTCCACATCAGATATGGTAACTAAAAAAAGGATATCTGGTTGGTGCAGAAGGCTAATGGTGTGCTTGCTTTGAAGCAACTGAGAATGGAAACTTGATCATATCAGGGACTATCGCTCCTCAACCCAATTTTAAATTTCTCACTTCACAGTAGACTTCCTTGGACAAGCGGGCCACAAACAGGAAAAAAAAAGGAAGGAAGGAAGGAAGGAAGGAAGGAAGGAAGGAAGGAAGGAAGGAAGGAAGGAAGGAAGGAAGGAAGGAAGGAAGGAAGGAAGGAAAAAATCACCTCACCAAAGGAAATTTAGTCCCTACCATTTGGGTAAGGCAATTTTCCCAATCTTAAGTCCTGAAACGTGTTAGCCAATGTTTATCACGATTAGGGATGACCACAATCATATACTGACATTGATAGGCTTCAATGTTGTAATATAAAAAAACAGCCTCTTATAACTTGGACCAGGGTTCCCACCTAGGGTGCCCACACCTCAGAGATGGAATTTCAGGGGGTGCAACAAACAGTGGTGACTGTCCCTTAAACATAAGTCACTAGTCACAATTACTTTTGTAGGGGATGTGAACATTAATCAAACATTTCCCAGGGATGTGGGTCATAGAAAAGGTTGGGAACTAATTACTGGCTTAGACCAACAATTTATTAGACATAGACAATGCATTTTCACTGCATCTGGGAGTGGATTTAGGAATGTCTTTTCTGTTACTAAAGCAGGGGTCCCCAACTCCCGGTCCATGGACCAGTACCGGGCCGTGGCATGCCAGCAACCAATCTGCACAAACAAGCAAAGCCCCATCTGCAGGATGCAGGTAGCACACAAAACCATGCACCCTCCGGTCCGCGGAAAAACCTCTCTCCACGGAACCGGTCTCTGGTGCCCAAAAGGTTGGGGATCTCTGTACTAAAGGACTAGATCAGGGGTGGGCAATTATGGCCCCTTTACAGCACGTGGACTTCAACTCCCAGAATTCTTGAGCCAGCCATGCTGGCTCAGGACTTCTGGGAATTGAAGCCCACAGGTCTCTATGGAGATTCTCAATCATCCAGGTCATGGTTGTCCCAAAAAAAGCAACTTGACTTTCTTAATTTTTTCTTTGGAAACATTTGACTTCTCATTCAAGAAGCTTCTTCAGTTTTAATTGAAACTAAGGTTAGAACTGAAGAAGCTTCTTGAATGAGAAACAAAATGTTTTCAAAGAAAAAAAACAAGAAAGTCCAGTTGCCTTTCGGAAAAAGCACTTTTGGTATAGGTTCATAGGCCATAAAGGGGTAATAGTTGCCCACCCCTAGGCTAGATTAATTGTGATGATACAACTATGTGTATTTACTCATGCACCCTACTCATGTGCCCAGAAGGAAAGGAGCCCATTTGGTTTTGACACAAAATGATCAGGTAAAAGAATTAAAATCCTGTTGGCCCTTCCTGTTTTACCTTGCTGTACTGTATTGCTTTAAGCAATTCCATCATTCCAATCCCATTCTACTGCTGGAAATGACTCAATCTGAGGGCAAATTTGCTTGAAGCAGCTGGCGATACAATCTCCAGGGCTATACCCCTATGCTGTTCACTGTTGGGGGCCATGCAGTATGGAAGAGACAATTCCACTGTTATCTCTGCACTTCACTGAATGATATGGGGAAAGATACTCTGGCATAAGAGAAGCAATGTAAAGCACAGCAATTATGTTCTTTTAAAAAACAAACTTAACGAAATATGTTACAGGTAGCCCTCAATGTATAAGATTTCGTTTAGTGCAGTGTTTCTCAACCTTGACAATTTTAAGGCATGTGGACTTCAACTCCCAGAATTCCACAGCCAGCAATGCTGGCTGTGGAATTCTGGGAGTTGAAGTCCACATGCCTTAAAATTGTCAAGGTTGAGAAACACTGGTTTAGTGACTGTTATAACGGCACTGGAAAAAGTGACTTATAACCGTTTTTCACACTTTTGACCATTGCAGCATCCCTATGGTCATGTAATCATAATTCAGACACTTGGCAATTGACTCATATTTATGACAGTTGCAGTGTCCCGAGGCCATGTGATCACGGTTTGCAATCTTCTAACAAGCAAAGTCAATGGGGAAGCCAGATTTAGTCAACAACCCTCTCACTGACTTAACAACTGCATTAATTCACTTAACAACTGTGGCAAGAAAGGTCATAAAATGGGGAAAAACCTAGTTAACCAATGCTTTGCTTAGCAACATAAATTTTGGGCTCAAATGTGGTCGTAGGTCGAAGACTACCTGTACCAGGATTTCTCCTTTTCCCTGCTTCCCACTTATGCAGTAAAAAAAGCAGTGCACCAGAAATGTGTAACATTCTTTTGCAAACAAAGAAGCGAGAAGCAACAGGCCAACATCCCTAACCCGAATGCCTCATGATGTGTAAAGAACCAAAATCTTGGACAGATGCAATAGAGGTTAGTTGCTCCAGGTTTGCTTTGCTTCTGAGCTTTCCAAAGCAACTAGATTGGTCACAATTCAGAAAAGATCTAGATTTTTAGTCTGACCGTTCAGCGGCTATTTTTCTGAACCAGACTGATAAGAGTAAAGAGGGCAGAGAATGAGGAGAAGTACCACCCACTTGTGCAGGACGGCAATCTCATTTTCAATGCTGGTCTCTTTTCCTTCTAGCACCTTCTTGGCGATGCATTTGATGGCCACCAATTTCTGAGTCGATTTCTCTTCCGCCAGCACCACCTCTGAGAAGGCACCTCTGGAAAACAAGATGGATTGGGAGGAGGAAAGTGAGACATTAGGCCAGGGGTAGGCAACCTGGGCTCTTTTATGACTCGTGGACTTCAACTCCCAGAATTCCTGAGCCAGCATGGCTCAGCTTGGAAACCTCTCCCTTTCCCCTCAGCATGGCTGGCTCAGGAATTCTGGGAGTTGAAGTCCACGAGTCATAAAAGAGCCAAGGTTGACTACCCCTGCATTAGGCAGATCCCTGGCCAGGGGATGCCCCAGTTAGATGGGCACTGCCTGCTGCAGAGTGCCAACAGATGTAAAATGTTTGAGGTCCAGGAAGCAAACGACAGAACGAGGTCCATCAGCCCAGCAAAGCAAAGGGAAGGGAGAAAAGTTTTTTTTTTTTTTTTTAAAGGGGGGGGGTGTCAAAACAAGTGACCTCACTTTTTGCTCTGCCCTCTTCTCAGCATCAACCCCTCCCCCTTACACCCGGCTGGATCTCTCACCCAGCCGCTGTCACCACAGCAACCTGCAGAATCTCAGCTATTTATAGGAGAACATGTGAGAGATGGCATTGGGCAGGAAGGAGAGAGAATGTGCCAGGAAGAGAGGAATCTGAGCTTATCAACTTGGCAGGCAAAGTTGGTATGGAACCACCGAGGTTCAATCAAATCTCAAAACTAGTAAGGTCTTCCTGAATCTGCAAACTAAGGGGATGAGAGGGGAAAAACACCATCGGAAGAAGATCCCACCCCTAGGTCAGAAGTGGAGCAAGAATAAGGATAAGTAGGGCATTCTTTCCACTTGGACAGAAAAATACCTGGACTTCCAACCAGGTGCTGGTATCCTCTTGTGTAAACAGGGGTATACAATTCAAGCACCAACCCTCATTCTCGTGGAAACAGGCACCCTTTTTTTCTGAAAGACTAGCCCATGCTTTGTTCAGAATAAGCGTGCAGCAGGCAAGCAAGCGAATCTCCCTCTCTGTTATGATTGCAATCACATCTGGTGGCATGCTAGCAGAAGGTAGGGAAAAGAAAAGAACACATCCAACTTGGTTTCTATTTGGAAACCCCTTCTAGATTTTGTGCTTGAGATAGAAAAAAAAAAAGGGATTTGCTGATTAGGCAGGTTTGTTGTTATAGAAATGGCTGGTACATTATTAAGTATGCAAAAGTAAAAAGTTGATGCTGTCATGTTATTATTTGTATTCTACTGCCCTGAAGAGAGACAGACGTTTCTTTCTTTCTTTCTTTCTTTCTTTTTCTTTCTTTCTTTCTTTCTTTCTTTCTTTCTTTCTTTCTTTCTTTCTTTCTTTCTTTCTTTCTCTTTCTTTCTTTCTCTCTCTCTCTCTCTCTCTCTCTCTCTCTCTCTCTCTCTCTCTTTCTTTCTTTCTTTCTCCCATACTTCTCTCTCCCCCTTTCCCCATTATTTCCCTTTTTCATTTCACTTGTATTTTTATAAATGTAATAAAAATACATTTAAAAACAAAACAAAACCAGAAGGCAGGGAAATGGCATCGATTCAAGGGCCAGATTTGATGCCTGGGGACAGCAAGGAAGAAGAGACATGGGTGGAAAACTAATCGAAGAACCACAGAAGAGAAGGCCTGCATCCCTATCTCCACATCCACCAATATTTACACTCTGATATGTCAGCAAGCCCGTTCAGCCCCACCAGACAGATTCAACTTGTCAGCTGCTGTTTATAGCCTGGGGAAATTTGTGGTGGATAAGGAAATGAATAAGAATTAGTTATGATGGTGATCTGGTACAGTATCTTCGTCAGGCCTCTAAATACCACTTGCTAGGGAACAACATGACATGACCTCTCAAACAGCTGGTGGGCTTCCCAGAGGGACTTGGCTGGCCACTGTGGAAAACAGGATGATGGACTAGATTAGCTTTTGATCCAGTCCACAGGGGCTCCTCTACTGCTTTTTATACACAAAACAAGCTGCGCTGCTAAAAACAAAGGCTGGCAAAAGCTAATGGATGGGCTGTGCCCTACTTTTCTCTTCCAGTTCTTAGGAAATGTGGGGAGGAGTGCTTAACTCAGTTCACGTAAGATACAGCATCCATTCATTCCAGACTGGTTGAGTAATAAACAAAACAGCTCCCATTTCATTTTCACACATGTAGACGTTACTTACATGCCTTATCAGACTGCCCTAAACGTGCATTAATACTCTTTAAACCACCATAAAGGTATGATGTACATAGGGAAACTCAGGAAATGCTGGATCTGATTGAACAGGAGCTGTGCCCTGCATCGGTGATATAGCCTTACCCCTTTCGGAATACCTAACAAAGACAACCCAAAAACCTGAGACATCTGAAACATTAAAATAGTCATAATTATGGCATGAGTTTTTGTGGGCCATTGGATGCAGGACTTACTTAGCAATTGAAAGAAATAAATTAGGAGATAGAGGGTTCAAATTGCTATCATGTTTAAGAAGAGTCTATAACAGGGGTAGGGAATGATGGCCCATTTATGACTTGTGGACCTCAACTCCCAGAATTCCTCAGCCAGCCCTCAGGAATTCTGGGAGTGGAAGTCCACAAGTCATAAAGGGGCCCATCATTCCCCCCCTCTGGTCTATGGCAATTCAATATCTGAGAAAAATGGCCTGTTGTGTTACTGATCCGTCTGGAAAATAATGCTCATGTTGACTTTATTCTAATCTAAACAGCATTTGTGAATGGGGACCTCACATTTGCAGCTCCCTACTGCATAGTAATGCTTGGAAGGGAAACAGGAAAAGAAAAGATAGGCTTTGGGCTGTTGATGGTGGAGCCATATTTGTTTGTTCTGTAACTTTATCCATAAAGAACCACATTTCAGATCTTTTGAAGAAAGGTCCATTTCAAAATGGCAGCCGGCTTATCTGAACTGAAGAGCCTTGCCATGGCCGGAATGAAGCTTTTTCACACTGAGTGCCACAGCTTAAAATAACTAGTCACCTGGAGTGAATCCTCTTCCTCAGCATAGCAGCACATGATAAGACTGTGCACATACTTAGGTTGCAGCCCACACCTCCTGTCAATATTAACAAATCTTGTGCTAATATTTGAAGCGATAGGTCGCCTGAACTAATTCTCAATTGTTGACCCAGTCCTGGCATTAATTTCAGATGTAGCATGCGGGGCAATTCACGAAAAGAACACAAGAAGCTTTGCATTTTCATACAGTGGCCATTTTGATTCATGGCCAGTTTGCCACCCTTCTCCAAGCTGATGCATTCCATGAAGGCCTAGACCACAGTTCCCAAATTTTTTCAGTCAGGCAACCCTTTAGAAGAATTTTTTCCCCCCTACAGAACCCTAACTCTATCCCTGATTTTTATTAAGCATTATTATTAAGAACCCACAACTTCTTTCATCTACTCCTATTGCCTGAGCATTTTGCATAATGTAGTAAGTTTGAGAAATAAAGAGAAAACATTTTAAATATAACCTTTATTTTGGTACAAGATAGCTGGCCTTGTGTGGTTTTATTTTAAAATCTGTTTTAAATTTGATTTTTGAGATTTTTCACGGAACCCTTAGTATGCTTTTGAGGAACTCAAGGATTCCATGGAACACAATTTGGGAAGCGCTGGCCTAGACAATCCCCAATTGGAAACATGTAAAAACCCACAGCATCCATAGACATCTGTGATATATACCTTCTAAAAGAAAAATAAACTAAAGTAACTTCTGAAGGCTGCATGTTTAGGGATGGTACTTTTCCTACAGAATATGACAGATAGTTCCTGCTCTTCCAAAGCTATTTGCAATCATGAATATTGCAGAGAATACATGTTGTCCTCGACTTATTATTATTATTATTATTATTTGAATTTAGTTCATTTAGTGACCGCTGGAAGTTACAACGGCACTGAAAAGTGATTTATGATCGTTTTTCACACTTTACCACCATTGCAGTATCCCCATGGTCACGTGATCAAAATGTGGATGCTTGGCAAGTGGTTCATATTTATGACTGTTGAAGTGTCTTGGGGTCATGTGATCACCTTTTGCAACTTTCTGACAGGCAAAGTCAATGGGGAAGCCAGATTCATTTAACAACCATACTAGTAACTTAACAACTGCAGTGATTCACTAAACTGTGTCAAGAAAGATCATAACATGGGGCAAAATTCACTTAACAAATGTCTCAGCAACAGAAATTTTGGGCTCAATTGTGATTGTATAAGTCGAGGACCACCTGTATATTAGAAGTCATCTAATATATCTGCAGTGTGTTAGTTGGAGATGGCTGCTCTAGGGTAAAGATGACTAAGTGCTGGCTTAGCCTTATGTCTGGACAATAATTTTGTTTACCTCCAAACTCCAGAGTGGAACGTTAGCCAGATTAATGGAGATAATGGCAGGTCGGCAATATTGCTTGGGTTACATTTGCCAAATTGCTTCAAACCCAGCACCTCAACTGTAGCCTTATCTAGACCTCACTAAGGAAAGTTTAAAAAAAGAAGGCACTCCTTCCATACATCCTCCCTAACAGCATCACCACTAGAGTGGTCCAACTTTCAGCAATTTCTACTCTATCCACCACTTTTTAAAAAGTTGACTCTTCTCACTTATATAGATCCTATGCATTCATTTGATTTGAATTACCCAACCTACTTCTAATTGGATTTATAAAAAAAAATGGTTTTCAAATAATGGATCTAACCCAGACATGTCAAACTTGCGATGTCACGTGACGTCGCGTGACGTATCGGAACTTTTTTCCCATTGCCGGCAATGGGGTGGGCGCGGTTTCCTCGTGACACATCCAGCCCGCGGGCCAGCAATTTGAAACCCCTGATCTAAGCTGACTGGCTGAATTCAAGACAGAAATCAACAATAGGCTTATTTGCAGCAAACTCTCAAGACAGCCCTAGTAAACAAGCTTAAGAATATTTACTTCTGCTGGGTGTAGTTCAGAGTTGCATAGAATATAATAACCTGTAAATGACCCTCTCAATTTATTAGAACTTCACACAGGCAGCAAGGATTGCTAATTTAGATTACAGCATGTTGAATAAACAAATTTTGAGAGCGAAACACTGTCTGTCGGGATTTGGATCTCCTGGCAGATGACTTGGTAATCTGAAAAAGATTTAGGAAGATTACCAGCTCTCATGACTGTTTAGCAAGAGTTATGAAAGGATTCCATTCCCATCCTGGTCCTCTCTAAATTAGGCTAAAGTTTCTGAAATGAAGAAGGCTCAGGCAAAAAAACCAAAACAGGATGAAACTACTGGAGTCCAAATTCTGGCACTCTTGACTGGATCCCACGAAACTCTCTCCTCTCTTTGTGCAACAGCCTCTACCCAGACACCCCCAGAGCTGAAAGAACTCACGTGCCGAGCACCTCCCGAAATTCATAGATTTCCCGGATGTCTTCCGCTTGTTTTTTCCAACTGAGCTCATCGTCTTCCAGGGGCATGGCTCTTCCTGGGCAATTCAATTGTTGAGTTGTTCAATTCCCAGCTGGCTCGAAGCAGAGGAAACAGGCAGACGTACTCAATTCAAGGTCTAGCTAGCCGAATACAGGCAGATGGCATTAGAACAAAGGCATCGGAAGGCTTCGCCCTGAAATTAAGCAGAAGAAAGGGATGGGTGGCAACATGAAGCCGATGAATAACTGCATATTCAGCTCGGTTCTCCCCATACATATATGGAGCATTGCATCTGATGAAGTTTGTCATGGCACCTGAAAGCTTCTACCTTTTAATAGAATTTGGAAAAAGGTTCTCCCAGACATCTGATTTTGTTGTTGTTGTTGTTTGCTACTGGAGGAAATAAAAGTTATTCTTTTATAAAATTGTAGAAAAATAACTGTAGAAATGTAATGCCAATAGATGAGACTGCCTATTTAACACAAATGTAACTCAGTAACGCAAATGTAGCAATGCACTGCCAAATGTGTGAGAAGGTTTGTTCAATGTTTACTGCCTAAAAATCCTCCCGGACACAGGAACTTACACTTTGAGTAGAAATCTTACTATCAAAGAGGGGGATTTTAACCCTAGGTGAAAATTACAAATAAACAAGATAACAGCAGATGGGTGGAAGAGGTCAGGATGACTTTAAGTACAACTTCAAAGTACATTATAAAGATGAAAGAGCTTCTTAGATGTGACATGCATTGTAGAGGTATAAGATGCAGAGCTTGAAACCAGGCCAGTGCGCTCCTGGAAACCAATCCGTAGGGAAGGATCCAAGTGTTTGCAAACGCTTCTCTTCTCTTCTCTTTTTATTCTTTTTATGTTATTCTCCAATAAACCTTTGTTTTGCTAACCAGACTTGTCTTCGTATTGTGAGTATCAAAATTTGGGGTTTTTACATCTCACAATCTCCTAAACTAACATGGTTCCTACAACATGAAGCAAGAACTTCCTCTTCCCTTCAGTGAAGAGGTTTTCAACTACACCAGTCTTTAAAAGTACATCAGCCTTTGTGCTAAATGTCTTGGCTGAAAAGGGTTAGCTTAAAAATCAGTACATCACAGTCTCGGTTTATAGTTTGGGAAAGTTCCTCAGCTGAAAAGTCCCTCTGAGAGGCTGCGGCCCAAAAGATCCACCCAGACCTTAAACCTCCATGGCAAAGGCTTCATGAACTTTTACAAAGGGATCAGCAGGGGCTGGCAGCTCTCCAGCCTTCGTCTTATCCTTCCTTTCCCCAATTCCTCTTTATCTTTGCACCCTTCAGCATATTGCTCTGACTTTCTCCTGTTTGGTAACATTACAGCTGTCTCCATGGAAACAGCGGTAGTGCCTGCAAACACTGAAAATACAGCACCTTCCTGTGCCTTACACATGGTCTCTTGGGGTCAGATCTGCTCATATTTTCTCACACACACACACACACACACACACACACACACACACACACACGCACGGTTAAGGACGAGATGCCGTGTCTCCATAGGAGGCACAGCTAGCCTTTCCACAACTATTAGCCAGCTTCTAGCAAAGGCTACCCAAGACTGGGTTAGTTTGGTCACAAGGGTTATGTTTTTGCATGGTCTGAACTTCTGCCTGTGGCTGAAAAAAAACCCAAGAGTATCGTTTAAACCAGGGGTAGTCAACCTTGGCTCTTTTATGACTCGTGGACTTCAATTCCCAGAATTCCTGAGCCAGCTTAGCTGGCTCAGGAATTCTGGGAGTTGAAGTCCACGAGTCATAAAAGAGCCAAGGTTGACTACCCCTGGTTTAAATATTCTAAACACATTATGCTGCACATGCTGTTCATCAACATTTTAAAAAGTAATGACACAATCTTCTTGCCCTTCTCACCCAACCAAGGCCTCACACGTGAGTGCAATTAAAGTTCCTCTTGGCTCAAATTCCCACAGTGCAAGCTAGGTTACTTTTTTGGCAAAAGACAGACACACCCCAGCAAGCAGTCGAATAACATTCATTCAGGCTAAAGGAAACAGGACGNTCACGTGAAGTATTAATACCACTTTACAATGCCTTAGTAAGGCCACACTTGGAATACTGCATCCAGTTTTGGTCACCACGATGTAAAAAAGATGCTGAGACTCTAGAAAGAGTACAGAGAAGAGCAACAAAGATGATTAGGGGACTGGAGGCTAAAACATATAAGGAACGGTTGCTGGAATTGGGTATATCTAGTTTAATGAAGAGAAGGGCGAGGGGGGACATGATAGCAGTGTTCCAATATCTCAGGGGCTGCCACAAAGAAGAGGGAGTCAAGCTATTCTCCAAGGCGCCTGAAGGCAGGACGAGAAGCAATGGGTGGAAACTGATCAAGGAGAGAAGCAACTTAGAACTATGGAGAAACTTCCTGACACTTAGAACAATTAACCAATGGAACAACCTGCCTCCAGAAGTGGTGAATGCTCCAACACTGGAAGTTTTTAAGAAGAGACTGGACAGCCGTTTGTCTGAAATGGTGTAGGGTTCCTGCCTGGGCAGGGGGTTGGACTCAATGACCTACAAGGTCCCTTCCAACTTTATTATTATTATTATAAGGCCCGGGGGCCGGATGCGGCCCGCGAAGTGGTTTCATGTGGCCCGCGAAGCTATTCTGGAAACAGTGAGGGAACGGCCCCCGCTGCCTTGGCCCTGGCCCAGGACGGCCGGGAGCCAATGTACAATTTTGTGGTGGCCATCTTGGCACTTGCCCCGGTCCCACCCCCTTCTGCCAGAGACCCTCAGATCTGTCCCACTCCTGCCCAAGCCGCCATAGGCACCCTTGACACGAATGATGTAGAACTGGCCAAGCCCACCCAGTAGGCCACACCCACTCCATCCACGCCCACCCAGTAGGCTGTGCCCACTATGGCCACACCCACCCGCCCCCCCCAGGGCAACCGCAATGCTGATGCGGCCCTCAGTGAAATTGAGTTTGACACCCCTGTGTTATGGGAAATGAAGCTTCCTCAGTCCTCCTTTTGCAAGTGATGCCAACTCTCAATCCCCAGGAAGATCTCAAGGAAAAGGAAAGGAGAGGGACATTTATACATGCATTTTAAAATGGGTCATTTCCCCAAGATGGCTGCACCAGCTGCTTTTCATGAATGGAAAGTTCATATGAACATACTCTTGTTAGAGGGTTCTAAATACATAATGCTGCATTGAAATGATTATCTGTTGTGTGAACAAAAGGAACTGGAGTTGTTAACCCCCTAACAAACTCTTAGTCACCAGTTATTTCTAACTTTCCATTTCTTTCGAGAGACAGTCTCCCTCAAAACCTCTGCAACACACACACATCAGCATCTACGGTCCAAAGCATTAGCTTGTAACACAAGCCAACTGTGTATGTCTGCATAAAATAGAAAGCTATTCTTTGTTCCACATTGCTGGCGTTTCACCTGAACGTGAATATTTATATCACAGCCATCATAAAATCTATCAAACATGTTCCCCATCCAGGAGAGAGAAGCAAGAGTCCTGCCTTGCAAGAACAAGTAGAGAATATTCAGTCTAGGCACGTAGATGTGAACGTGCCACTCAAAAAAGGAAATAAAAAATAATGTAATAAAGCAGATTTAAAAGTGAAAGAGCTCCCAGCAGCATTTTCCAGAGCAAAGTACGATAATGTCTGAGACTCAAGAGTCAACATTATATAATTTGAGACCTCTGTGGCGAAGCTCTCTGGGGTGTGAATCTCAGATTCTTGATAAGCACCTAATTTTTAATGAAATCCACTTTGATTTGCGCATAGATTGAAGAATTAGCTCTCAGGCCTCTCCATGTTATTTCACAGACCCGTGTGATACTTCCAGGGTGAGCTTCCACCACCCCATTAAATGAAGGCTAGTTATTGGAATAGAGCAGTGGTAGCGAACCTATGACACGCATGCCAGAGGCGGTACTCAGAGCCCTCTCTGTGGGCACACATGCCGTTGCCCCAGCAGAGTTCGCCAGAGTAGCGAGCACGTGGCGTTTGAAAGCAACAGGGCAGGAAGTGAGTGAGAAAGTGGCGTTGGCCCCCCAGGGATGCCCCAGAGATGGCGAGGGACTAGCCCCGGCCATGCTCACCCAGTCTGCCCAGAACACTGCAGCCACGCCCACCTAGTGGGCCACGCCCCCCCCCCCAGGGCACCCTAATGCTGATGCAGCCTTGGTACTTTGTGATAAATAAGTGGGTTTTGGGTTGCAGTTTGGGCACTCGATCTCTAAAAGGTTCGCCATCACTGGAATAGAGGATTTGGTCCGTGAGAGGGGTGCTTACCTCTGTCTCTTCCTCGCTGGTTCCCCAGATCTCCCTATCTTGGTTTATTCTGTACTCGGGCTCCTTTCTATCTCAATAGAATTGGAGAGAAGTGGAGGCAAAAGAACTTGGGGATGACTATTTTTCACCTGGCAGCTTTTCTCGTTTCAGCAGTTAATATACCTTAAGATACTGTATTGATTCTTAAAAAAAAAACAGTGAAGGATGGAGCAGGGGTGCACCCAGAATCAGATAGAAGGGAGTCCCCTAGTTCAGGAAGGCAGGTTGGTCTGACAAGGCATTACAGGTTACAATGGGGTGCACCCTGCCCTGTACCTCCATGCTAGCTTGCTATCCTCAAACATGGAAACAAGTTTGGACTGTCAGTTTCCATGTGTGAAATGGGTCTCTCCGTCACCCATCTGAGGCACAAAATCTAGTTGGTCACTGGACTGGCCCGAACCCACCATATTCATTTATTCTTGCTTTTATATCTCACATTTTCTCCAGGGGGACTCCTCTTGATTCACCAAAGATGCTACACTATCCTGCCCAAAGTTACTTGTGAATCCCATGCTTGAACAAAGACTTAATTTGGAATCTCCCCCCCCCAACACACACACACACAATCTAGCAATCTTAACTTACTGGATCTCTTTTCTTCTATGGGATGTTGTCAAGAGAGGAGGTTAATGAACTACAGAACCCAGCAATCACCACCATCTTAGCCAAAGATGCTGGAAGTTACAGTTGGGGCACAGCTTTATCTCCTGCCAATCACTTCTACTCACCGACCAGGAAGAGTCCAAAAGAATTCTTAGCAATATTTCTGAACTACAACTTCTACAGTGCTCATCATTGACTCTAAATGAGTGGGGCTTTGGGGAGCCGTAGTTCAT